AGTCATCCCAGCGGATGAGTCTGGGTAGGTCAATGTTGTCTCTTAACAGAGGCTTTGTTGGAAAAGACTTCAAGGGAGACAGTGCAGGGAACCTGGAGGGACAGACAACAGCACTGAGCACAATCAATGGGGGGAAAGTGAGATGACAAGAACAACAGTACAGGATGAAAAAAGAAATACCTATACAGATGGCCGCTGTCTTCAAAGTCCTCTGTCCCGTGACGTCCTTTAATGTCTTCAACAATATGGGCCTTGAGGAACTTTCTAAGCAGCTGCAGGGTCTGGTAGCGAGTCACCTCGGGCCCAAAGTTGTAGTTGTCCCTCAGCAGATCATGCAGGTAATCCACAGCCTCAGATCCTGTGAAACTGCTATCATAGTAGCGGAAGTGTGCCCAGTGCCTTCTCAACGGCATGCCTCCACGGAAGAGTTTAATGGTTTCATTCCACTGCACAGCATGGAGAAATACAAGTGTGAAGTGTGAGAAATGCTTCAGCATGGAATATCTATATACATCTATCTATATATAACAGTTACCAAAGGTGTTCTGTAAAACCAAAAAAAACTCATTTGTCACAGAAAGCAAATTCAGTCACGTGTAGTATACTGTCAGACACGGCATACAGTATACTGGAAATACTTGACTCGGTCTACTACGCTGAAAGGTAGGCAGACCGCATTTTATGAATTCACAGAGTTCCTGCCTTTAATGTTATATCTGTTTAGGACACTGTTATAGTTACAGTCAAAAGGTGACACACAACACAGACAAAAAACACAGCCCACTGGGATACAAAATACAGTTTACATTCTTCATATACAAATATAAATCCTGTTGCAAAATCAAATCTGTGCACAAAGCAGTTGAAAACACTTTCTTACTAGTGTTTAAATCACAAAAGACATTCAGGTCATTTACTTTGTATATGCTTTTTTTTTTCATTCTTGCAAAAGCAGGATAAACTACATTTTGAAAAACAGTACTGAAAACATGCTACCATGAAACAATTCTATCTACTCCATTTCCCTCCTCTATTCATAAAAAAGTAGGCAACAGGTAAAGCAACTGATGGAACATTAGCCTATTTCCTAAAAGTGTTTTGGATGGTGGAGAGGTTGTGGATTATCAGATCTCAGAAAGTATCCAGATGGGTAAGAGGGAAAAAAGCAGGTAAAAGCAGAGAGAGGTAGAATTAGGCTACACAAGGTCATTACAACACAGGGCAGTTCCACTGAGACAACGGACAGAAATGGTATATAATTGAAAAGGGTCAGACAGACACATGGTGTACAATATGCTTGTCTATCTGAGAGTTTTTCTAGTTTGTTGTTCCAGGGTGATGGCTCTGGGGCTTTTTGATACTATAAATAATGTGTCTACTTTATGTTCTTGTAACCTTTATTAAGAACAACATTCAACCTTTCTGCCCTCTTCTATTCCACACATAGAACAAATGCAGATGCAGTGTAACTGTCAACCGATTACAGCTAAATTAGCGTTAAACTGACCTCGAATATGTGTGAAAGTAGTCTACGTTATCGCTTTCGTGATGTATTAATGCAGAATATCAACATAAACATAACTCACATATAAGAAACTTGGTCTGACCATACATTAACATGATAACGTTTAATCTTAACCCAACTCAAAGCTTTTCGACGCCACCTTTGACCATGCTTGCTAACTTTCCCGACAGACTCACCAGCTTCGTTGCCCTGTATGGACCTGGTCCAATGACTTTTCCTTCCATTCTGATACTGAAAACCCGCTTCACACATGTGAAAACACGAACATTCGTAACATTTGTAAACTTTCATAGGCTTAAGCAGCAGATGCAAACAACACAAGAGGCTCTGCACAAAAACGTTGATAACAACTTTGAATTTCCTGCGTCACGTCATTCGCACGACGTGATTAGACAGCGCGTTGATCACGTGACCCCGGGGCATGCAGCATTTATGAATGGAAGTGACTGCGGTGACAGTCATGGACCTATGGGCACATCATTCAACTACAAATAATAGTTGTAACAGCAACATTAACATTAAAATACACTCACTGGCCACATTATTAGGTACGCCTCTACAATTGTATGCAATTCAATGCAACACTACTGTTTTAACATCTGTGTTTATGAAGCTCAAAATGTTTTCATTTTTGTGTGAAATTGTCAGAAATGTATAAATTAAATTATATGTTTATTATTGAGGTCATAGTTAAAGGTGTTGTTGTACTGGACTAGGACTACATTATATTTAGTCTGTATGTTTGTCCTCCCCAGCTACATACATGAGAAGGTCAGAATATTAGGAACACCTCTGGCCATATTGTAGTCTGGGTGTACTTAATGAAGTGGTTGGTGAGTGAAACATGCTTCAGCTCACATTTGAAACATGCTTCACCTTCCCATCTGTAGTCTTAACTACACCTTTTAGTTAAAATTCTTATGAATTACAATTTTACAGACAAAATGTACTTAATATTTGATGCTTCATTAACAGTATTTTGATAACGTTTACATTTTTATGCCTCTGCACCGGGAACAGCTGTGACTGGAAAAATAATTCTACATGGTGTCAGCCTGTTCACTTGACAGTACAATTCAATTCAAATGTATTTGTGTAACACCAAATCACAACAAGACATCTCAGGACACTACATACTAAGGTCTAGACCTTACTATTATTATCATTATAGAGAAAACCCCAACAAACCCCTGTTGAGCAAGCACTTGGTGACAGCAGGGAGGAAAAACTCCCTTTAATGGAAGAAACCTCCAACAGACCCCAGCTCTTGGTGGGCGGCCTTCTCCCTCAACTGGTTGGGTGAGTGGGTAGTTTTCATAGTCATCACTCCTGTCACTCTCATCACAAAAAATAAGGCAAATATATCCAAAGCGAGTGTCCCAGCGCTTATTTAGAGTCATCTGAGTTGTCTGTCTCTGCCAGGCTCGCTCCCTCCCAAAAACCCTAAAATGCTATTGATATCGCAGCTACAGCGCAATAGAGCTCTGACAACAATCCCAGCTATATATGAAACTGTTACAAGTATCCTCACATCAGTGATATTACCTTGCAGGGGTGGATAAACTCCCCTGCTGGGAGGCTTCCCACGTCTGGAAAACCTAATATGTATTTAAAACATAAAATTTTCCCTCAGCAGGCCTACCTGAAGCGTAAGTCTCCCCCTTGAAACTTGGCAGAGTGAGACAACTCAGAACTTTAACCATAAAGTAAAATAAAGTTAATGAAATCTGGGTGGTGGTTTTGAAAACAGCACAACTACACTTATCAAGACAGGCTTACAACATATCAAATATATCCTCCGCTGATATAGTCTCTTCAAGATCTCATCAAATCATTCCCAACTCTCAGAACCAAACAGGCTGGTGTAGACATCTATAACCAGCCTCCTCATCTCCAATAGATCAGTTATGGTCCCATCTGCATCACCAGGTTGTTTTCTTTAACTTCAGTTTCCTAAGGTTGGACAAAAAGCAACATACTGCAGTAATGCAACTATCACTCATTTGGCACTATAACTGTCTCCTGTGTTTGTTTGCCGACTCATTTTTCTCACTTCCAATTTACATGTCAGTTTAGAAAACATTTTCAGTGCACATTGCGTATGAATATATGGAGTTAGAAAAGAGGATAAGCAAATTCATGTTGCCAAGCTGAGATCTCACAAGAAATAACATACTGCAAAGGGCCAGTTTTCACTTTAATAATTGAGGTATTGTCCCTGCAGAGCTCAGTTCCTTCTTCTGTTAATTCAATATGAAGCCTGATAGCCTTAAGACTTTCAGCCCCCAGTATAATCTTGCTATAAGAATGTTAAAAAGAGAAACTCAGTAATAATACATGATCAAAATAATGTCAACCTGTACACTTGACAATCAGGCTTTCATAGTATTACTGCTGTTGTTCTCATTACAGGCCATATGGCAAAGATAGAGGTTGTAGGCAGCTACCTCTATAGGAAATCAGCCTGTACTTTGGCTGAGAGCTGGCTAACTGTCAGCTCTCTGCAGGTGGATCCAGTCAGTATACACACAGTCCTCTGGGGTGTGGTCACATGACCCAATTTTGTATTCTCAGTGCAGTGCAGACACTCCTGCTGTCCATTTGATAAGTGTGTGGAGATGCTTATGTCCTTGTTGCGCTGTGAAGAGGATCCAACATGTTTATTTTGATTTGACTATGGACTTCCTCTGTTGATCCTCTGTCGTAGATGTGTTTCTGTAGAGACACTCACGAAAGTTACACAGCAGGTAGACTATAAGGTTGTAGATAGTGAAAGACTTGGCAAATGCAGCGGCCAGGGCGAATACAGCAGAAGGAACCTGTGTGGCATCTCTGAAAGGAGCTCACATGGCCACAGCAGCATATGAGGTACAGGAACCCAGGAAGCCTATACATACTGCCACAGAGAACTATGGAGAGAGAAGCCATTCACACACAGTCAGACATTCATACATGGATACATATACTAAAAAACCATGACATAACATAAATAATGTAGATACAAATATATGCAGTGCTAGTCCCTTGTTTATGATTGCACATACACACAAACATACCAACCAAGAAAGCAAGTAATCAGCAAACACAGGAATTTCCCCATTGTGGGATCAAAAAAGTCCTACCTATCTACCAAAGCAACTTTTATAACCTGTGAATAATGTACTGGCTCATATCCTACTCAGATCATATCCTACTCGGATCCTTTCAACTTCAAAACCTGAAGCCAGTGGTGCCAAAGCAACACGCTCATCCTCTGACCTTGACAACGAGACCGTGTGCATTGGCGGTCTTTGGTTTGTAGTGATACATGCTGTTGAACGGCCTGACGTGGCCCCTGCACTGTCAGCAGAATGAAAGTGTAGGAGAGGAAGATGATGGTGCAGGGAAGTGCATAGCAAAAGACAAACAGGCAGGCAATGTAAGACAAAGCTGAAAGCTCATGGCTGGGTGCATGCCAGTCAGTGCAGCAGGCGGTGCCCTATGGTTCAGGACTGTAATGTCCCCACTGTGCCAAGGGCCAGACAGCAAATAGGTATGTGCAACACCACACTCCAACCACCAGGAGGCAGGCATGTGACAAGGAGAACGTGTTACCTGATTGAACAGGAGAAAAAAAGAGATACTTTGCAGTTATTGTGGCCATGTTTTCCCCTCATGTTGTTCAGTTTTGCAAATGGCAGTACTGTGCTCATCAATTTAGATAATTATTCCCTCACTATGGTTAGGGAAGCAGACTTTAAGGCAGCAGGCTAAGGAGAGGGCTGTGAGGTTGCACAGATCAAACAGTACTCCACACACAGGTGACTTCTCCAAATAGTCACCTGTGTCTACAGACAAGGGGAAAAGGAAATGTCATATAGCCTAGTGCAGCAACTAACAACAACATTTTCATTATCACTTAAATGTAGCCGGGTCAAAAAATAAAATTACAGTTTCCTAAGGGGAGTAACTGAAACTCTCCCTGGTGCAGTAAGGTGTTGTTGAGTAAGTGCCCAGTGGGTGTCGCTATGATAGTTGTATACATGCAGTGCTCACCCACACCTGTATGAGGGCGCATCTGTTGTGACGTCATCGCTGTATGACAGACGAGTGTCCCGCGGGAAAAAAGAGAAACAGACCAAGAAGGAGAAAAAGGGAAACGCAGGGAAATACAAACCTCCGTGACTGTCTACGAGTTCGGGGTATTTACTCCAGCCTGAACAGGAACACCGGCATCTTGAAGAATAAGTCCACTACTGTTGCCTTTGTTCGACATATTAAAAAAGGGACTGACTATTGTTACCTAAACCCTTCTGTTAAGTAAAAACCACATTCAACCAAAATTAATGCTGTCCTATTATTTGATAACAAGGGCAGTCGGGAAATAGGACCCACATTTGTTTTGGAGCTGTAGGTGTTGGTCCGAAAACCATACACCTGGCCATACATTACCACAGCCCAGCCCCCAACATAAATGCCCGATTTTTTTTTTTAATTTACTGATAAACTATTTGGTGCAAACAGTGTCAGAAAATAGTGAACACAATTTCCCAAAGCCTAAGCTGACCTTTTATTATTTGTTGTGTCTGACCAACAGTCCAAATCCTAAAAATATTCAGTTTGCAGTGATGTAAAACAGAAAAGCAGAACATTTCCTGAATAGAGAAGCTGGAACAAAGAAATGTTTGGCGTTTTTCTAGAAAAAAAAAACACTTAAATTATTAATTTATTATTGCCTTTTACAGTTCAGTGAAGTGTTTACTGTGAAATGAATCTGATGTTGAGATGATAAAAATAACAATGATAAGAGGGGACTCGAAGGTACCTGTGTAACAGCTGATGATATTGCCAGTGGGAATAAAGAAGTCACTGATGGAGAGATTGATGATGAAGAACTCTGCTGGCTTCAGGGCTGACCATCTGTGATATGCAACAAGTAGCAGAATGCAGTTGCCCATGAGGGACTGTATAACTATAAAAAGAAGTAGACCAAGCTATTCTATATGCATGCAAGGAATCAGTGACCACATGTGAACTTACAAAATACACTGTAGAGGGAACCCATGAGGATGTCATGCTCCTTGGACATGGTGGAGACAAATGATGAAAATGTTTCTGAAGGATTTCCCATTTAAGTTCATGTTAACATACAAATGAGTTGTGATGTAATGCTTTGACTGAAGGATTTACCAAAAGCTAAATATCCCACTGATGACATTGTAAGCCGAACACTGTCAGCAGCACATTTCTACTTAGTGTTTGTAAAATGGTTTTACTGTTTGCAGTGCAAGCTGTGCTGTATTCCAGTCTATGTTGCATTATGCTTCCAGTTTACAGGATCAGATGTATAGAAAAAATGGGAAAACCTCTTTTAAATAAAAAACAATCTTGTGCAAAGGAGAGTTGTTTTAAACATAAATATATAAAAGTAGGACTGACATTTGCCCATGGCTTTGATCTTTCTGGAGACACTGTGACTGCAATTTACTGAGGAAAAGATTTGAATACAGTTTACTGTAGTTGTCAGCATCAAAAGTAATCAGTAGGTTTGTGATAAGTTTCATGAAAATCCTAAGAGTCATGTGACGCTGCTGAAACTAGGACTGCCACTCATAACCATTAAATGTCTGTAGACAGAGGAAATAAACAGCCATTTAAAGGCTGACAGGTTGGGCTGATTTTTTCATTACAGTGACAAATATTAATTTTCATAATAAAAGACCTCAAGTTCCAGAAATTCCAGGAGTCAGATTTAAACAGGAGTCACAGATTGAGCTATGCCACTGGCTGCCAATCTCTGATACCCATGCAGACACACTGACGATGTAACTGTCAGTGCCCGTGAGCTCATGCATGTGGTTATTTTGCTGTTTAGTCTTGATGATTCTCATCATGATTACCTGACGCTGACACACTGTGCACCTACTGCAGCTGTTTAGTCTTGATGATTCTCATCATTATTACCTGACACTGACACACTGTGCACCTACTGTGTGTTTAGGATGGCCAGCAGTACAGCATAATAAACTGGCCATGAATCAGTTGTCACCTCATGACTCTACAGGTCTTTAGGCTTGAACATAATTGTTGTCATATACAATTTTTCAGGAACAGCAAACTTTTTGACCCTGCAAAGGCAGCATGGTGGCACAGTGGTTAGCGCCGTTGCCTCACAGCGAGAAGGTTCCAGGTTCGGGCCCCACCTGGGACCCTGCTCAGGGAACAAATGGTAGAAAATGAATGAATGACCCTGCAAAAAAATTCACTGTTTCTCACAACAAGACAGATTTGTTCAGTTTAATAGAAATAAACTATTTACTAACTAAGGTAAAGAGGAGGATTAAAACCTATTTGTAAATTATACAAACATTGGTCACTTGTCTTTAACCCACCTGTTATGTTCATTTTTCAGGAACAGCAGTGATGTTCCTGGGTTAATTTTACCATTACTAACCATTTCAATCACTATTTAGTTCAATGGTGTTCTTTACCTCTCATAGATTATGGTTCAACCAGGATAATGCACTTGTTTTTCATAAAAAATGCATGTTAAAACTTTTTTTAATGTATTTTGGAAAGACCTACATATCAAAATACATTATTTTACATGACATTGATTTTTTTTAAAATGTTATTTTACATTTGGAAATCTTTTCTTTTTTATGAAGTGATGTTGATAAATTAACATGAGACACCTCTTCTGTTCAGGGTCAAATTGACCCTAAACAGTATCTTTGTAATATAAACATGCAGGGGGAAGTTGCAAATATGTTCATTTTATATGTTGATTACACCTATTAAGCCAAGCATAAGATGTTTCATACCAATAAAATACTTTAAACTATTGTTTTTAGTTTTTTAACTTTATAATTTGACCCACAACATAACAGGAGGGTTAAGCTTCACTGACTTGATTTCAGATATTTCTAATGTTAATCACACTTTATATTGTTTTATCATTACCTCATTGTCTGATAATTTCCATGCCTATGGGGAGGACAACAGCCACAAAGAATGCACAATAAATAAATAAATACAATTCTTCCACTTTAGTAAGTCACATCATCATCAGTCCACCACAACTGCTCCCCTTCATAACACAATCATTGCAAAACCACATGGAAAAGCAACCATTTTTGTGTCAGTGATAGGTGAAACTCTTGACTCAGATCTTCAGTTGAAGATTATTCACTGTGCTAAATTGCACTGTATGCAACAAAAGATGTGCTAATCAGTCATTGTCAGCATGCATCAATTTTTCCACTGGCAAGATCTGAGTATCATTGATGATTCAAAGTATCACTTCCCACCCCACTTCCTCTGTATATGCATCCTAACTCATTACTTTCCCACTATATTTTTCACCTGTACCTTGATTTGCTTCTACACTTTGGATTATTCATTTTTTTTACACATCAATAATCTATGTGAATCATACACATGAGGTGAGTTTTCCTAAATCACTTTTCACAGTTCACGCTTACACAACACACATGCATACATTCAATCAAAACAGTCAATCTTAAGGGTGGAGGATTGAAAACTGGCTGTTGATGATACAAGTATCTGGGTGGCTGCAATGATGTCAAGATGGATTTTAATCTATGTGCAGGATATTTTCTTTGAATATAAAACAGAGTATAATTTTAATAGAATGTGCCTTTGAAGTTGTAATTTAAGATGAAACTCAGAGTGAGAAAAAATAATTATTGTAATTTCACTTTGTGTGACAAGAACATAAACTTACACCCTTTTATCAGAGTCCTAATGGTTTGTAAATGAAGCCGCACCAACAGTTCAGTGGTCAGTGAAAACCTGTTGCCACTGTGCTACTGACAGGTAATTATTATGTTAGTAGGTACTGAGAATTGCAAAGTTTTTGATGCATAATATGCATCAGGAAGGAGATTTCTTAGATAATTGCACCTGTGTTATAAAGTGAATGTGACAGCCACTTTATATGACTAGACAGCTCTCCACCAAGGCAGCTCAGTTTCCCCATAATGCCATTTAAAAAATTTGTGAATCAGGATGGGCCATATCCTACCGCTCTCTCATTTTCTATACTGCTTAGTCCCAAACAGGGTCGCATGTCTTCAGACAGTGGGAGGAAGCCGGAGTACCCGGAGAGTACCCACACAAGCACGGGGAGAACATGCAAACTCTGCACAGAAAGGTCGTGAACCTGGAACCTTCTCACTATAAGGCAACGGAGATACCCACCACACCACCGTGCTGCCCGTATCCTACCTGTCCAAACATTTTCATCAAAATCCATTCATGACATTTTTGAGTTATGCTGTGAACACACCAACAAACACTGGTGGAGGTTGGTGGAGTTCTTGGTCACACACTGGTAGGGAGCATTTGAACTGCACCTGAAGTGCTGTGTCATCCTATATCCTGCAGTTTGCTTGGAGAAGAGCTGCTCCCAGACTGACAGTCATGGAAAACTGCTTAAAGGGGTGTTGGCTCCATAGCTTAGCTGAGCTGAGGCTGCAGAGCTGTCAGAAAGCTGCAAAGAGCAGTGCTGTCATATTAATACCTCAACACGGGGTCCTGGAATTATTTAAACTTAGTGTCACAGCCTGTGGTCTGCTGGACTATGAGGTCCCTTTAGTGACTTATTGAAGATGACAGGAGACATGAAATGAATAGAACCAGAGGGAAAGATGAGAGATCAAGTTGAACATCAGTGCAGTCACTTTCCATTTGATAATGATAGTGGCATGGCTCTAGTGTTGGCAATGTCGGTCTGCTGATTGACCCACAACTTTTGTCTACACTGAAATATTTCAACAACTATTTGATCTATTCTCATGAAATTCTATACAGACATTCGTGTCCCC